AGAAGGGTGGATTGGACCAGGAATCGGGTGGAGTGGCTGGGGTACCTGTGGCAGGCGGTCGTCAGCTGGATCTGGATCACAGAGAGGATGTGAAGAGGGAGGGGCTGGGGGTGGAGCTTTTAAAGGAAAGCTTTTCTTTCATGGAAAGAACAGGACAAACAGGGTGTGAGGGTGAAGAGAGTGACAGGATGGAGGGGGAGGGGGATGGGACTGGAAGATTGAAGGGGAGAAGGGAGAGGAAGGTCAGTTGTGGCTGCCACTGTGGGGTGGGGGGAAGAAGAACATGCAAGCAGGGGCAGGGTGAGTGGAGGGCCATGCTCCCAAGGTGGTAGCTTCTCTGATGAAGGAAGAATGAGAGAGGGGAAGAGAGGGAGTTCAAAGGAAGGCCTCAGGCCTCTCTCCTCCATGATAACTTGGAATGAGGAAACTTGACCTTGGAGGAGGAAAAAGGCTTGGGGAATTTCTGACCATTTGCTGTTCCTCTGTGTAAAGTAATCAAGGTCGCAGAGAATTTGGTGACCAAGCCTGCCTCGTTCTGGCCATTTAGATTCATCATCCAGTTTACATTGAAGCCAGGCTTTGGTATAGAGATAAATTAATTGTTTTGGTCTCATCTGTCCAGCACACACAAGTTCAACAGACAGACCCGGGACAGTCATGCGTCCCATGGGAGAAATTTGCTAACCCACGGACTTAAATACAATGAAACCGAGAGCTGAGGACTCGACTTACAATAAAGCATCTTTTGAGAAGCCTCCCACAGCTGAGCCACTCACAACTGAGTTATGAGATTTCCCTTAGCTTAGATAGGCACCTCTAAACTAGGACATAAGGGAACATTCCTAGTGGAACTGAGTGTGTACCCTAAAATCCCTGCAAAGAAAAGGGTACTGGCCAATGAGACGAGGTCTGCCCTGGTGCCTGGGGAGACTAGGGTCAATTTCTTACCAAATCTGTTGGGTTGAGATTCAGGTCCAGTGTTGCATGCAGAGGCGAGATCCAACAAAAGATTTTTGACTGAATTCACAGGGAGAAGAGAAGGTGTTAAGTGGGGAGTCAGGGGGTAAGAGACCAGCTCATCTGGGGTGTCTGGAAAGGTGTCTCCAATTTGCTCAAATCACTCCAAGGAGGAAACTTCAAGGCTAACCTGAGAGTTTCACCCTCCCTCCATCAAGGAGAGGCACTTGGTCAGAAATGACAGTAAAGCGGGAAGTAAGTTCTTGGGTACCCTAACAGGGAGTCTGCATCTGGTCTTTCCCTGGGAAATTTTGTGTCCCATCAGAGTGGCCCTGGCTGAAGACTGTCAGTCTTCCACCCGGTCATTCCCAGTCACATACATACACAGCCTCATTCCTGAGAGGAAAATGAAATAAGAAAGAGCAAGTAGCAGCTGGACAGGAATTCGACTGTGTGTGGAACAGCATGGTCAGAGGGTTCCCCTGGAGATGAAGGGGTCCTCAAGGACCAGACACTCAACAGTTACCTTGAGGTCCTCACCCCCAGTTTGCTGCAGAAAGGAGAAGAAAGTTTGGAGAAGGGGAAGGTATCATTGATACCAGAGGGTATCAGAGCTCTGAGTATCTGGCAGGTCGATATAAATCCTTGACCAGGTGGATGGAGCGATGCAAGCTCTGAGAGCAGGTTTCCTGATGACTGCCTGCAAGTATATGAGCTTCCAAGGAACCACAGTGGGCGAGGGGCTGATCTCTCGCACCCCTCCCCGTATGGGCCACCAAAACGTAAGGAGGACAAAGAGGAGACAAGATACAAACTCACAGCCCAAATAAATTTATTCAAGGGAATAAACCCAGACAGGTGGCTAACTACCAGCGTGCACACAGGGCAAGCACATGGTAGAAAGCCTGGTCTTCCTGGCCAGTGCCACGACTCACTAGGCTAATCCTCCGCCTGCAGTGCCAGCACACCAGGTTCTAGTCCCCATTGGGGCGCTGGATTCTGTCCTGGTTGCTCCTCTTCCAGTCCAGCTCTCTGCTGTGGCCCGGGAGGGCAGTGGAGGATGGCCCAAGTCCCTGGGCCCTGCACCTGCATGGGAGACCAGGAGAGGCACCTGGCTCCTGGCTTCGGATCAGCGTGGTGTGCCAGCTGTGGCGGCCATTGGGGGGTGAACCAATGGAAAAGGAAAACCTTTCTGTCTGTCTCTCTCACTGTCCACTCTGCCTGTCAAAAAAAAAAAAAACATAAAAGAACGAAGATAAGAAAAAGAAGCCTGGTCCTCCTGCAGATTGGGACTTACATCGTTTGGGGTAGCTGAGGATCTGGAGGGGAGTACAGTCGGCAGAGCTGAGCTGGTTTGTACAGGCTTTTTGCAGGCTTTTAATCTCGACCCACCGTCCTCTCTGTGGACTGCTAGTTGAGGAAGAATGCAGAGGTTGGACTGAGTTGGTTGACAAAGAATGCAGGGGCTAGGAATTCTGTCGGGGGACTGGATCTGCTTTCAGGCAAGGAGCTAAAATGTCTCTAAAGCTCATGTCCTTGCTCCATCACAAAGTTTAGTTTCTGTTTTTGTTTTGTTTTTTATTTGACAGAGTCAGGCAGTGAGAGAGAGAGAGAGAGAGAGAAAGGTCTTCCATCTGTTGGTTCAACCCCCAAATGGCCGCCACGGCTGGCGCTGGGCCGATCTGAAGCCGGGAGTCAGGAGCTTCTTCCTGGTTTTCAGTGCAGGTGCAGGGGCCCAAGCACTTGGGCCATCCTCCACTGCCCTCCCGGGCCACAGCAGAGATGAGATGCCGGCACCGCAGGCGGAGGATTAACCAAGTGAGCCTCGGCGCCGGCCCCCCATCACAAAGTTCAGTAACAACAGCATCTAAACCATTTTTGTAGACATGGCAGAAATGACCAGTTACTTTGGTTTCATATCATAACATATAAACTTATGTTGCCAGTTTTTCTCCTAGAGTAAGATTATCATAAATGGAACATTCAGAAATTCTTTAGCTATGCCATTACCTGAGATAGGAAATTCAAGAGGAGGAGATCTGGGACACTGGACTAGATATTTTTGATTTGTTTTCTCATTTATTTCTAAGTACAGGTGATGTTTTCCTTAATTTTCATTAGACCAAAAAAAAAAAAAAAAAAACAAAAACAAGTTCAGAGATGTATTGTAATTTGCCCATGATGTTAACAAACAAAGCCGTGGTCCAGACTCAGGCAGGCTAGGATCCAAAGCACATATTCTTTGCATAAACATATCCTGTGTTGAATGTTCTGAGTTGGGTGTGTGGTGACTTAGCAGTGAGAAATCTAATAATCTGATAATGATGGGGCCAGTGTTGTGGTGTAGCTACTGCCTGAGACACCAGCATCCCATGTGAGCGTCAGAGTCCTGGGTGCTGCACTGCCACTCTAGCTCCCTGGTAATGCTCCTGGGAAAGCAGAAGATGGCCCAAGTATTTGGGCCCCTGCACTCAGGTGGAAGACTTGGATGAAGCTCCTGGCTCCTGGCTTTGTTCTGGCCCAGCCCTGCTGTTTTGACCATTTGGGGAGTGAACTAGCAAATGGACGATCCCACTCTCTCTCCACACTTGATCTTAGCTAAAAGGCTGAGAAGCGATAATCCATCTCTCTTTCTGTAACTCTGACTTCCAAATTAATAAATACATCTTTTTTTTTTTTTTAAAAGAATCTGGTAATGATAAAGGGGTCTTTGAGGCCTGTACTGCTCTTGTTTGTGGCTTTGGCTGTAAAATATATGTAAGACCACTCAAAAGCCTCAGGATTATGAGTGCTTGGGAGTAAATGAGGTTAATGAGGAAAAAAGCTATGACCTAGAGACCATCATCTTCTGTCTAAATATTCACCACTTGATAGGCAAACTATGAAGGGTGGGTGCCTGGGTGCTTGGGCATCCACCTATGGGAGATATGGTTTAACCTAAGCAGGAATCTTGTATGTGGGGCTCTTTTTGGCTAGGCATACAGGCCTGGGAGCCACCTTTTATGACCACGAAAGGCCCTGGAAGATTGAATGTCCTCAAGGCAGAAGGAGAATGAAGTGACTACCCCGAAGTGACTAACCAATGGCAGAACTTTATTCCGTTCCTGGGTCTGGTTACCCATGCATTTAGGTCTGTGGTGAAACTATCAGAATGAGCACACAGAGTCCATTGTGGTCAACAAATATAAAAATAATTCATGTCAGTTATAATTTATATTAATTCTTCTTCCTCAACCTTGGGATAATAGTCTAGGGGCCAGGATTTTGCTTATATAAATTCGGCTAGCCCCACTGTGTTTGGGGCACGCGGAGGGGGGACAGCAATCCTTTCCTGCTTCCTGAGCAAGGTTCTGGCTGTCTCCTGAAAACGAGTCTTATTCTTCAATTTCATATAACTGTGACTAACTTTTACCACTGAGAAGTACGTCCAAAATACCGTGACCCAAAATTGGGGGAAAGGAGTATTCTGGTACTTTTGCCAGGAGATCCACGGCATGTACAGTAAGAGTAAAAAGAATGGGCTGTTTCGAGACAAATGGAAGAAATAGATTAATTTCAGAGCAAGGAGAGATTCAAAGGCCGGTCATCTTCTGTGCTTGTGCCTAGCAAATAGGGTTTCTCGGATATAGGGAACAATGAACTTTATCACTGCACGAGAAAGACTGCCCAAGTAGGGCTATCTCGGGTTGTGAACACTTTGGCAGACCAGAGAAAAAGCCTTGAGCCGGATGCTGGCAGCGAAACCCTGACATCTAAAGGTCGCAAGCAGTTGCGTGCAGAGGAAAAGCGAAGTGCCTCGGAATCACCTGCCGCCTAGCAGCCCGGCAGTCAGGAGCTGGGAGAGCGCTAGCAGCGCTCTGGGCCTCATGGCCCCTCAGCTGTCAATCGACATCCTCGCCCCGCCCCTCCGAGAGCTTGCCCAATCGGAGCTGAGGGTCGGGGGTAAGTAGACGTGGCGGGGTCAGGAAGCTTGGAGCGAGAGGCCTGGCGCATCGGCGACGAGTTGGGGCGTCAGTGTACCCTGCCGGGGGAGATTGACTCACCAGCGGCTGGACTCTGAGGTGAGTGCGGCGATGCGGGATTGTGCGGGCTCCGGGCCGGACCCTGTCAGTGCAGGGACCCCCACCGCTCACCTCCTCGTGCGCTCCACTCGGCTGCAAAGCCTCTCCCTCCGCGCGCGCCGGGTCCCGAGTCCCCTCTGGGACTCCCTCCCCGCGGCCCCGAGGGTCACGGCTGGGAGCCCCGGGCCTGGGAGGGGAGGCTGTGGCCCAAGGCGGACGCACAGTTGGAGCCCCAGGCTGCCGCAGCCTTGGACCTGAGGAGCGAGAGCCGAGGCGGATCCAGGCCGGGAGGGAGTGGGGCGGGGCGCGAGCATCACGACGCGCAGTTTTCGCCGCTCGCTGCAACGCCGCAGCGCGGCGGCCCCGGACCCTCGCTAACCCGCAGCCGGCCGCTTGGCCACGCCGCCCCGTTAGTCCCCATCCCTTCTCATCTCTGCCCAGGCCATCAGCTGCCTCTTGGCTGGTGGTACTATCGCGAGTTGGACTGCTGTGGCCTTAATGACCTGCCGTTTGGGGACATCAGATGCAGGTCGTATGGGGAAGAAAAGTGTGACTTTACAAGATGTGATGTGGAGACCCTGCTCTGTCACCCATCTCAGCCTTAGAGGCCATTAGGGTGATGCCAGGAGGGATTCTTAGGCAAGATTTATACTGTGTGTGTGTGTGTGTGTGTGTGTGTGTGGAGAGAGAAAAAAGAGATGGTTTTTAATTTTTTTTTTTGCTTTTTTTTTTTAAATTATTCTAAAGGAGGCTGTTGCCACATTTCCTAAAGAAGAGAATCACACTCCCCCCACTGTGGTCAGTTATCGTTCAGAACATCAGGGTGGATTGGAAGCTGGCGGGACTCCCAGACCCTCTCTGGTTGCTTGCAGTGGCATACTATGCCTCCACAGTGTTTGGGTTCTGCTTCCCTTTGTGTTCAGTATCTTCTTTCTGTTTCTGTCATCCTCACAGTCCCTGTGGGGCTCCTGAGAAAGGAAGTGAAGTGGAGTTGGCTGCCCCCGTTGCTCTGCGATTTGGGTTGATCTCGGGGACTATTGAGACGTCTTTTCAGAAATGTTACCGCTTATCCACTGATGTTTATCCTACTTGGCTGCTCAGGGACCTTTTACAGAAGTTGTTTTTTGAGGCCTACTCCTACAGATTCTAATTTAATTGGGTGGGTGGGGCCTAGGCACTGGTATTTTGAAAAGTTTCCAGATGATTATTAATATTTGTACAGGGTTAACGACCATGACCTGTCAGTATGCCTTATTTATTTATTTAATTTCCGGACAGCACTTAGGACTTTGTGGTTTATTTAACTCATTTGAATACTGCTCTATCTGCAGTATCATCTCCATGGGACCCTGCTTTGGAAGAAGGTCAGGAGAAGGTCCAGGTGAGTCAGCACTTTGGGCTCCTGAGGTAGGAGCACGTGAAAAGGGAGTGGAATCCCAGGAGCACTGTGGGTCACTGTGCTTCATCCTTGTTCAGGGGTTACCCGTTACTGTCTTAGTCTTGCATGGGTCTTCAGTGCTTCCTTCTGTCTATCCTGTCCTGTTAAGTTTCCGAGCCTTACTTGGCACTCTATGGAACACAATTGCCTTTTGGAAAAATTGAGATATGTATATTCTCTGTAAATCTGTCCTTTTTTCTTTGATATAGGGGACCTCATTTTCTGAATTAAAATTCCAGGTCCTTTCTCTGACTAGTACACTTGCATTTATGTGGATAACAGGTCAAGAATGTAAATTTAGGATGTGGACTGTCCTCTGATATATTGTCTTTGTAAATAGTTGCCTGAGAACATTAACTTCCCAGAGGTTGGGGTTGCTGTTTAATATTCTTTGTTTAGTGCCTGAACTCAAGCATTTAATTTGTGTTATTGACAATTGTAATTCCAAGTTATGTAAGCAATCACTCTGTGATTCTCTTGTGCAATAGGAATAGGAAGTCAGATACCTAAGGAGAGTCTAGGATTGTTGCCACAGGACATTAAGGAGTTAGATTGGTTAGTACATGCCCTGGACTGGGAAGTAGTCAATCAAAATTTGACAGAAATAGTCCCAACAAGTCACCTGCAAGTCAGATCCATGCATCTTCTTTTTTGCTTGTCCTTTGCATATGAGAAATTAAGTGGCCGGCGCCGCGGCTCACTAGGCTAATCCTCCACCTGCGGCTCCGGCATCCCGGGTTCTAGTCCCGGTCGGGGCGCCGGATTCTGTCCCGGTTGCTCCTCTTCCAGTCCAGCTCCCTGCTGTGGCCCGGGAGTGCAGTGGAGGATGGCCCAGGTCCTTGGGCCCTGCACCCGCCTGGGAGACCAGGAGAAGCATCTGGCTCCTGCCATCGGATCAGCGCGATGCGCCAGCCGCAGTGTGTCGGCCGCGGCAGCCATTGGAGGGTGAACCAACAGCAAAAGGAAGACCTTTCTGTCTCTCTCTCTCACTGTCCACTCTGCCTGTCAAAAAAAAAAAAAAAATTTAAGCACAAGTAAAGTGGTATTCTGATACTTCATAAAGATTGGGAAACAAGACTGCTCAAGTTATGATTCCTTGAATAATACATTTTATTTAGATCTCTGTAGCTATCTCTTGTTTTCTGAAGTGGGAAGATGGGTTATTTAACTACATGATTATTCTAATCTTTAAAAAAATAACTTTTGGAACATTTGCCTTTGGTTTGTATATTTTTTTAGTTGCTTTGTAGTACTTATAAAGCATTGACCTTAAACTAAAATCTGAGAGTGATTTGCCAGGTGGAATTCAATATATGTAAATAGCCAGTTATATATGTATATTTATTTGTGTGTGTGTGTGAGAGAGAGAGAGTGAGAGAGAAATAATGATTGAATACACCCTCAAACACTGCTTCACTCCCCAAATGCCCACAATTGCTGGTGCTGGGCTGGGCCAAAGCTGGGAGTCAGGAACTCAATCCAGGTCTCCCACATTGGTGGTGGGAGCCCAATTACTTGAGCCATCACTACCAACTTCTAGGGTCTATGTTAGCAGGAAGCTGAATTTAGGAGCTGGAGCTGGCAATCTAACCCAGGTATTCTGATACGGAATGCAAGCATCTTAACTGCTAGACTACATGCCTACCCCAGTTACTGATTTTTATTGTACAAAAAGGAAATGTTCTTTCTTTTTTCTAGGTTTTTGTTTATTTATTTGACAGGTAGAATTACAGACAGTGAGAGAGAGAGATAGAGAGAAAGGTCTTCCTTCCGTTGGTTCACTCCCCAAATGGCCGCAGTGGCCAGAGCTGTGCCGATCCAAAGCTAGGAGCCAGGAGCCTCCTCCTGGTCTCCCATGCGGGTGCAGGGGCCCAAGTGGGCCATCCTCCACTGCATTCCCAGGCCATAACAAAGATCTGGACTGGAAGAGGAGCAACTGGAACTAGAACCCGGCGCCTATATGGGATGCTGGCACCGCAGGTGGAAGAATAATCTAGCCACGGTGCCAGCCGAAAAAAGGAAATGTTCTTATATCTACTCCTCCCACTCTATTACACTTAAATCTATGTATGCCTCTGTCTGTAAAACTGTACTGTCAGTTTCTAATATGTTTTCCTTTTTTTCATTTTCAGTATCTTTAACCTTTATATCATATTTCTTTTACCACAGGAAGAATATTATAAAAATGGAAAAACATATACTTCGAATGTGGCAAGAAAAGAATAAGGATTGTTGGTCACAACTACTTGAATTCAGGATTGTGTATGCTGGAAGGAAAGTTAGATGTGAACTCTAATTTCTTTGTTCAAATAAGCATCTCTTCTTGGGAAATTTCCAAAAAGGTAAATTATATGCACACGCATATACATTTATACATGTATATAATATTGTTCTTTCTTGTTGTTCTGAGAAACTTTTCTAGAGTCATTCTCATCCAGCACTGTTGTTCTTACTTAACTCTAAGGGAAATTTGAGATATCAAATTATATTTTCATGTTCCCTTTGTAAATACCTTTCTTGTTATAATATCTAGGTTTATTTATTTATTTTAAGATTTATTTATTTATTTGAAAGAGTTACAGAGAGGCTGAAGCAGACAGGGAGAGGTCTTCCGTCCACTAGTTCACTCCACAATTGGCTGTAGTGGCTGGAGCTGCACTGATCTGAAGCTAGGAACCTGGAGCTTCTTCTAGGTTTTCCATGAGGGTGCAAGAGCCCAAGCCCTTGGGCTATCTTCCACTACTCTCCAAAGCCATAGCAGAGAGTTGGATCGGAAGTAGAGCAGCCAGGACTCGAACTGGTGCCCATCTGGGATGCTGGCACTGCAGGTAGCAGCTTTACCCCCTATGCCACAGTGCCAGCCCCAATATCTAGATTTTATATTTGTAGGAAAATCTTTTACAGATTTCTTTTTCCTGTGAGAAATATTTCATTTTAAATGGAATTGTTTTCTCAAATATGATTTAGTATCTTTTTTCTACATGCATCTCATTTTTAATTTTTTTTTTTTTTTTTTTTGACAGGCAGAGTTAGACAGTGAGAGAGAGAGAGAAAAAGGTCCTCCTTTGCCTTTGGTTCACCCTCCAATGGCCGCTGTGGCTGGCGCGCTGTAGCCAGCGCACTGCGCTGATCCAAAGCTAGGAGCCAGGTGTTCTCCTGGTCTCCCATGCAGGTGCAGGACCCAAGCACTTGGACTATCCTCCACTGCACTCCCGGGCCACAGCAGAGAGCTGGCCTGGAAGAGGGGCAACTGGGACAGAATCCGGCACCCCGACCGGGACTAGAACCTGGGGTGCCAGCGCCGCAGGCAGAGGATTAGCCTGTTGAGCCGCGGCGCTGGCCCATATTTAATTTTTACTTTTAGAAATCAACTTTGGGCCGGCGCTGCGGCTCATTAGGCTAATCCTCCGCCTTGCGGCGCCGGCACACCTGGTTCTAGTTCCGGTTGGGGCGCCGGATTCTGTCCCGGTTGCCCCTCTTTCAGGCCAGCTCTCTGCTGTGGCCAGGGAGTGCAGTGGAGGATGGCCCAAGTGCTTGGGCCCTGCACCCCATGGGAGACCAGGATAAATACCTGGCTCCTGCCATTGGATCAGTGTGGTGCGCTGGCCGCAGCGCGCCAGCTGCGGCGGCCATTGGAGGGTGAACCAAAAGGAAGACCTTTCTCTTTGTCTCTCTCTCTCACTGTCCACTCTGCCTATCAAAAAAAAAAAAAAAAAAGGAATCAACTTTATTCTTTGTAGTTGTGATTTTTATTTACTGGTTAAAAAAATTAGGGCATAAACAAGATAAAAGATTAAATAAAAATTGCTCCTGAAGGTGACAGCTGTGAACATTTCTTTCT